ATATATATATATATAAAGCTGTATTTTATGAAAATTATTTCAGAATTAAGAAAAGGATTTCTTCATTTAAAACGAAAATTATTGCATAAAAAAATTATATAAAAAATAAAATTATTAAATTAATATAAAAATAAAAATAATAAAAATAAGTAATCTTACTATTTCTCTCGCAATTATGACAATCAGAAGCAACAACATAGCAACCACTCAGAACATCCTAGCAAACACCTAGTACACATTAGCAACCACAAAACCATTCCTAAACTTTATCAATACACTAAAAGCTACTCTAAATATTTTAGCAACCCCATAGCAACATCCTGACAAATAATTATAGCATGTGTGTAAAAATCCAGTTAATTAACACAATTCAAAAAAAAGTATACCCTTAAAAACAATTAAAAATTAATCTCTGAACAGCTCTTCAAATCTGAGTTGAAATAATATTAGCTTGTGCCCATATCCAGATGAAATTTGTCAGTGGTGGGTCACATTATGAGGGCACTGTCCTCGGTCAGACCTCATTGTGCTGTCAGAATCAAAGAGCAGATCCCAGCTGACATTCACACACCTGCCTATATATCTCCAAATGCAGCCAATTACAGACACACGCCGCTCAGCCGCACGAGGACCTGAGCAGCACCGAAATGTTGCTGATGATGGACTGCTGTGGGTTTAGAAAAAGAGGGAAAAATAAAGCAGTGACACAACAAGCTGTGACCCACGCTAGTCCTGTTAATTCATCATCTACAGTCCTAGCAGCTCTAAAGAGACCATATTACTGCTTGGAGTTATGATGACTGCTGGATATCTGTGATGCAAAGAAAAGGATCACTTTTGGAAAGTGGGGAGTTCAGCTAATGCTGAAGCTAAAGCTAATGCCAATTAATTAAATTTACAAAAAAATGCCTTTTTAGTGTTAATTTAGTATTTATGCACTATTATACTATTTAGTAATATTTGAATATATATATATATATATATATATATATATACAGTACAGTATATACTGTATATTCATTTTTAATTTAAATTTAACTTTTAGTAATTCTGTTGTGCTTTTGTCATTTTAGTCGATTTGGTCATTCTTGTTTTTTTTATATTTCTATTTAGCCTTATTTTGATTGCATTTTTTATTTTTAGTAATTTTAGTACTTCAACATGAACTTATTTTATTTCAGTTAGTTGCCAAACAACATTTCTAATTTTTGTTTTCATTTAATTTTAGAATTTTCTATTTTTAATTTACATTTTTTTATTTAAAGTTGTATTTTATTTCGGCTTTATTTCAATTAACAGAAAACATTTTAATAGTTTTGTGTTTAGAGAACAATAACAACACTGCAAAAAAATTATATTAATATTATTAATATTGATTCCACACTGTCAGTGGACACTGGAAAAATTGTGGACACTCAGTGGACACTCAGAAATTGCTAGTGAATTTCACAATTGCAAAATATAATATTTGCTTTATATGTATACTGTGTGTGTGTGTGTGTGTGTGTGTGTGTGTGTGTGTGTGTGTGTGTGTGTGTATATATTTATTTATTTATTTTTTAACAGTTTCAAAATATAATTTTAGTCTTTACAGTGTAGTTGTCCTAAAATTTATTTGGTCACTAACATTTTGGGGTGCCACTGTACATAAAACCCTTTTGGCCTCTTTATTCAAATAAAAAATACATATATAAATAGGTCGTGTTGAAAACTGCACAATGGTCTCCATTTTAAAACATTAAATTGTGGGCATTTATCCAGCATGCCTAGGTGGCTTTGCGTATCCGGGTGAGATGGAGAATAATGTCAGATTTATGGTAAATTAGCCCGCAGAGCCTGTTTATCCTGGTTTTAACATCCGTCTCGGTTGATCAAGTGGTCAGCTGATAGAGATCGCCATCATACAAAGCATGTTTTAACAGATCTAAATATGTATATTTGCCAAATATTTAAATATTATTACAAATTAAAATAACTGTTTTCAATTTGAATGAAATATAATGAATATATACATGATCCATCTGAAATCATTCTAATATGCTGATTTGGTTCTCAAAAAACATTTCATCTTATTATTCGTGTTGCTTAATATTTTTTGGAAACTGTGATACCATTTTTTCAGGATTTTCAAGTGAAAGTTCAGAAGGACAGCATTTGTTTGAAATATAAATTATTTTGTAACTTTCTAAATGTCTTTGCTGTCACTTTTGAACAATTCAGTCAATCACTGCTGAATAAAAGTATTAATTTATAATAAAAGTATTAGCTTGATTAGTGCTCTTCCCACTTTTGTATTTTGTATTATGAAAATCTGGTTTTGTTTCCAAAGCACCAGTACAGAACAACACATGGATCTATTTGTCACAAATGTAATGTAAAGTTTCAAAAGAACACAGGAGTCCATTTCTGCTGAAGGCGAGTAGAAATGAGATACAAATTCTCTCTGCTTGCAGTGCGTCAGTCACATTGTCAGGAAAGTGATTGAGAAATCATAAATACAAAGCTGTTTGACCAATTCTTACAGTACATCATCAGTAATGGTTCAGTTCTGTGATTTACTATGAATCGTACCAGAGTTCAGATGAACCGTACCACCCTTTTTAGGCAGAATCGGGTTCAGTTTGTGGGTGTATATCCATGTTCAGAAAACAGGGTTCACATTATCCAAATGAACTAAACTGCGACATCAAACAAACCTGAGTACTTCTTTTTTTAAAGACATCTTTAAAACACAGTAGTTATGGTATGAGATGCTGACAAAAATAATGACGCAACAGGAAAAAGATGTCCATCTTAATGTGTATGACTGCATTTAAAAAGAACGAGTTTAAAGATGAAGCTTCTATGAGAGTCTTTTACCATGTACTGTACTGTACTTGTGATCTTAAACAGCACAACATATTTTGATTTTGGCCCATGTTCACGTGAATTTTTGGGTGATATGTGTGACCCAAATGTCTTGTCAATCAATGGGTTGGAATTTTTGGAGCGATAGATTTGAGAGTATGAAAAGATCCTTTTATGTTACACAATACACCGGAGCTCAATATAGTACATGCTTTGATTCTCACGCCATAAATCTTTGTGGAGGGCGGGAGGTATTGAGACTTTATTTGCAAGGAACTGTTCCATTTTTCAAATGGATGGATGAAGTCTGTGGGGAGCAGAGCTGGTTGGAGTCATGTTTTATCCAAAGCCCAGTGGGACCTCTGGAGGAAAGAGTTCCACGGATGCTCCAGGCTGATTGGGATGCAGGGGGAAAGTCAGATCTGCAGGAGATTAGAGTGAATTGAGACATGTATCAGAGCAAGGGAGTGCTGCCTTTGACTGGGTACTTTTCTGGGTGGTTCGCTATCCACAAACTCTGCTTTCATTCAGTTCTCTTTCATTTCAAGTTCCCTCTCTCACTCATTCTCTCTCTCACTCTGACAGGTGCGGAATGATTTGACCAATGAGCTGGAGAAGGCAGACATCCAGATTGCAGACACTGAGAGTTTCTCTAATGATCCCTGTGTGAATGTGAAGAAACTAAAGGTAAGGGAACTCATAGGCCCTGCCAACAAAATATAACTAGCTTACAGTGCACTAGCTTAAAGTGGAAGCATACTTTAGGTACACTTTAAATGTATTTTAAATAGATATTTAAATTGTATTTAAATATTAAATAAATTCATTTAAATACCGATATTATTCAAAGATCATACAATCCTAATCAATAGTGACATTAAAACACATTTAGGCTTAATATTAACAAATGTACATTGTGCACAAGTAGTACTCCAAATAAAGTTTAATTATATATTATATATATATATATATATATATATAATTATATATAAGTCTTGAGTAAATATGTCAGTAAATATGTTAACTGATTTGAACTATACTTAGTATGAAATAAATGTACTGTATTTGAAATATATAACTTTTTTACTAGGATTAGGAAATGGATCTCTTAGATGTAACCTTGTGTGTTGAATTACAGCTGGACACAAAATTGCTAGTTTTGAGCATAAATCTCACTGAATGTTGTTACATTTGTGCTTAATAATAATAAAAAAACACCAGTGGGTTAAAATAAATATCTTATGGACTGCTTCTCATCTAAATTTCCAAACATCTTAAATTTTAATGATGTTTGTGCTGAAAATAGAGCAAAATATGACAAAAATCTAATATTATTGATATTTTTATAATTTTTAAATAGAAAATGTAGTCTATTCCTAGATTTCTGTTCAATCACATTATGCTTTGACATTTCCCTTTTAATATTAAAAGAGGGGAAATATATATGCAAAACATATACAAAATATCCTAGTTTAAAGATGTGACCATTTTTTACTGCATTCATACATTTGTGTGAACAGTGAGAAGCTGACTCTGTAATCATGTGATTTGCTAATGATATGCTAATGAGCTGTGATGTCATTGTTTAAGCATTGCATTTTTAGCTTTGGATGTCTCTTAAAGAGAATGCTAAAAAGTTTTCTTAGTCATCATCATAAAAACAAAGTGGCAGGAATGCCATGATCAATTTATCCGGGTATGTTTATGATCTAAATAGCCATTGTTCCATTGCTGTCTGCTGCTTCTCCTACTTTGCAATTTCCACCTAAAGGTTTGTTCCCACCTTTTTTTGCTGAGTCTTTTTTTTTCACGGTGAAACTATTATGACTTCTATTACCTGCCTGACTTAGTACCTCCATTATGGCAATTCCCCAAATGGTGAAGAACTGCTGAAGAACTGTTTCTTCAAATTCTGCACGGTCAGATTTTTCACCAGTTGACAGCAACTCTTAGAGTCTGTAAATTCAACATTATATTTCACATTGACACGGCTGTGCCAGAGCGACAGCCACCAGTTTTGCAGTATAAAAACCCATATAAACAAAATGTTGAGATTTTTGACACTCACATCCACTGTAGGTGGGTTACCATTCGCTGTGTAAATGTGGGAAAGCCTCGCAACCATGGTCTTGATAAAAGCAAAGCGAGTGGTGACCGAGGTCCTGGGGCAGCCTGGCGAAGATCCAGCCTGCATTTTGCCTGGCTGGAAGAAGCTTGTGTCTGCCAGGACTCCAGGACAGCTGGAGCCACTTACACAGCTGGAGGGATTCGGGTTAAGTGCCCACGCCGTCGGGAGCGGCAACAGGCTTTGTAACGGCTGCTGATTGTGAAGCAAGAAGCGCCTAACCCATGCGGTTGGTCCTGAAAAGGGAAGCGGGAGTATTTCACACAATAGCTCCAATATCTCAGCATGTTCTTTGGCACCGCTGAAGTGCAGAGGGTGGTATTGTGGCAATGGAGACAGTCTCTGAGAAACGTCTCAAGGAAAGCGTTTACCACAGGCCACACAGCGTTTGAATGCGGCCCCATCGCGAACGCTGTTTATGTCAAGGTTCCTGAGTTTAGAGCAGGTCTGGGATCAGATTTAATGCATCCGCTGTGATCTTACCTGTAAACACTACTGAGTCATTATTTTCTCTTCTGCTTGAACATGATAGTTTTCATCTTGAGCAGCTCATTAGCTGTGCATGTTAAATGCTCTTCCTGTAGCCTCGTGCTTGAGGATGACATCCCAAGAGGGAAAAGGAAAAAATAGATTCAGAGATTATTTCTTAAAGTCGCTGGTGGGCATTTCAATATCCCTGCAGCTGTGACACATCTTTTGATGGATTGGGCCGTGGCACCCCTCAATCAAGACTGTCTGACTTCCACCTGAAATTTTCATTGGCATTTGGTGGAATCAAGGGCATATATAATAAATTACTTGCACCTCAGAGTGAGCAGACAAAGCACAATAAATGCGGACATTGCTTTCAGAGGTGGATGCCTGCTGTTTGGGAATGTAGTCGTGTAAGAGAGTTCTGAAGGCAATTATACAGAAATATTTTGATGACAGACTTTGCTCAGGAATTTCAGTATGATCAACATTTCAGATGCTGTGCAACGAGATCGGTCCGCTGGTTAGTCAAGTTATGCCGTCCCATCCCGCAAATCACATGAGTTTTTTGATGCACTTGGAGGAATTTATTCGGCAGATGCGTTTCCATCTCCCATTATTCACATTAACCCTTTTTCGCACAAGTCAAAAACTATACCGATAATTCAAAATGCGCATTGAAACAGAGTGATGGAAAAATAGCTAGTGATGCAGAACTGGACGAGGTGGAGACACAATGCTGAAGTGGGCTGAATTATTTACAGACTCAGTCATGCAGCGTGAATCTGAGTCTTTCATTTTATTTTAATGAAATTAAAATAATTTCATTTTAATTAATTCATTCACTCTCGCATTTTATTAATAGAGACGGTGAAAGAACAGACAAAAAATTATACAGAAGAGATGGATAACAGGACTGGGAATTGGCCCAAGCTGGATCTGAACTTGAATGACTTCCTTACAAGCGAGTGGAGTGTGTGAAATAAGTCATTTTATGCAGTATTGTTTAGTGCCTCTAGCTGTGCAGAAATGAAACATTTTATTTTTAATTCAGACATTTGCTAATATTTTGGGACAGTTTTTTTTTATTATTATAATTTACATTTTTATTTTTATTTTATGATATTTTATTTTAGAATAAACAATTTGTGCTCACCAGCCACCTTTCATCATAGGTTTTATTGATCACGCTTCATTTTAAGGTCCAATTCTCACCATTAACTAACCATTAACTATGACTTTTGCCTCAATAAACCCCTAATTTGCTGCTTGTTAAGGACATTGTTAAGTTATTAACGTTGTTATGTTACATTGTTAAGGTATTGGGTAGTAAACAGCCAATATGTTAATAACAGGCATGCTAATAAGCAACTAGGTGTAGTGGACAACACATTCCAGGGCCCAGTTTATGGCGGGGCCCCTCTCTGACCACA